TTGCCTGAGCTGCAGGCACTGGTTTTGCTGGTGGATGAAACTGTTTTCTTCCCTATGGGGCTTTCAGTCCTTGCCTTAAGGAGACAAAAAGAAGGGGTGGGGGGAAAACAGGTGAATCAGAGGGCAGGTTTTTCTGGAAGATTTCAAGATAAGCTGACCTGCTGCTGGTGCCACAATACTGAGGACTTACAGCTTTGACCCTTTTTTTCAAAATATGGCCCTTAGCTGGGAGCTCTTTTTCATGAATAAAAGTGATAAAACTGAGTCTGACTTATTCATCTCCATGGGTTACTGGGAGTGTTTCTTCATGGCTTCCCTGCAGGGGGAGTTGGCCTATGACTGAGGGAGACCTAGCTCAGTGCCATCACTGCTAACTGTGCAAACTTGGACCTGTTACCCAACCTCTGTGAGCACAACTTCCTTGTTTGTTAAATAAGGGTACCTCCCTCCTGTTGGTAGAAGCATTAAGAGTTCAAATAGAAGGAAAGTGTTCGTTATTATCAACTTATTGCTTGCTTTCTTTGTGGCAGTCCCTGTGTTAGTATTCAAACCAAATCAAGTGGGGTAAAGGAAGAGATTTCATGATCTCTAGAGCCATAAACTGGAATGTTCTGAGCATCTGCTCTGTGTTTAATTGTATGCTGATCTTCATGTGTATTTTCAGTTCTTTGAGGTTTGAAAGATGCCGATTAATGGTATCTCTTCCCCATACAGACTCTAAACCAGTTGAGAACTACACAGGGGAGTCAGTAGAGATAAAAGTAGAGATTGTATTATAGGTGAAGGCTGGACCAACACATGGCTCACACCGACAGCTAAAATGTACCTTCACGCCTCCCCCCAACTTTTTCTGTTTCCCAGTTTGAAGCCTGATTCTAGGCTGCAGAGCCTAAGGGGCAGGTGTCCTGAGGGATTGATTTGGGGCTCTGAGGATAGTAACGTTGATCCTTTGGCTGCTTCCATGAGTCACAGGCTCTGTGTAGTGCTGGCCCCGCTGGAGGTTCACCAACTCTGTTTATCTCACCGGGAAGACCTACATCTCTGGAATGTTGGTGCTAATCCTCCAAATCTGTGCTCTGCATGCACCATGAAACTTGTTGTCAATTCCGGTTTCTTTATAGCCACTTTAAGCTCTCTGACTGTACGCAAGTGAGTTAACCTATCTGTGCCTGGATTCCTCATCTGTGAAGTAGGGATGGTAATACCCAACCCAAAGGATGCTGAAGGACTGGAGAGAAAGGACTTGCTTAGGGACTGGCACCTAATAGGTCCACTAAGCCTGATTCAACGTCCTGGGGAACTCAGCTTTCCATTCCAGACTCTGAGGCTTCTCCCTGTGTGCTGAGCAAGTCTCTTTGGGGGCCAAATGGTCACGGACAGGTCTGTGGGCTGGAGTGGAGATGTGGATTTGAGAAAGATGAGGTCTCAGTAGAAATGTGTCATTGAAAGACAAGCATTGGTGTATGGGTGCATCCATAGAGATTTATTGTCTGTGCGGTGGGATTTCAGTCCTACGTTTCAGGCCTCCTCCAGGTTGGGGGTGGGAGGCACGGGATTGTTAGCAGAAATGTCAACACCCTGAGCCTCCCTTCAAACCCATATTTAGGACTGTCTAAGGCAAAATGGTGAAGTAAGCAATGGTTTCCCCAAGGCACCCACTTCCTCTTTCTGCACCCCATTCGACTCTTTTAGCACCCTTCCTCCAGCCAGCTAAGAAAATGAGTCTCTGAAAAACGATTTCACGCTAACAGAGGGCAGCAGAATATGAGCTAATTCCAGCCCCCCACCTGTCATTGTACGGCCTGTGAACTACAAACAGTTTTTACATTTTTAAATGGTTGGAAAAAATCAAAAGAAGAATATTATTTTGTGAAATAAAAATTACATGAAAGTCAAATTTTATTGTAACATAAATAAAGTTTTATTGGAACCTAGCCACAACCATTTGTTTACATATTGTCTATGGCTGCTTTCAGTCAGAGACCGTAAGACTCCCAAAGTCTAAAATATTTACCTTCTGGCCCCTTAAGAAAAAGTTTGCTGATGCCCTGCTCTAAGATGTTAGAGAGTTCATGTGTTATGTGCTCAATGGGATTTGGTTCAGAGGAAGGGACAAAGCAATGGAGTTCAGGCGTTGTCGGCAGGCCTGCAGAGGAGACACTGGGTGGGAAGCTTTTGTGATATCCTTCCAGTTAGAAGGGCTGAGGGGAGATAGATGTCTAGTCTTGTACGTGGGGCTGCTTCTGTCCACACTGGGATAGGGGGCATGGAAATGGTGGGATTCAGGCCTATGACTCATTCTAGCTGCACAGACAGCAGGATTCAGGAGTGGATAAAGAACTCTTAGTGAGCGTATCCCACTATCCCACCAGCTTCCCTGCCAGGCTAGTGGCAGTGATTTTCCTTTTTTTTTTGGCTGCGTTGGGTCTTCGTTGCTGCGCGCAGGCTTTCTCTAGTTGTGGCGAGTGGTGGCTACTCTTCGTTGCGGTGCGCGGGCTTCTCACTGCAGTGGCTTCTCTTGTTGCAGAGCACGGGCTCTAGGTGGGCGGGCTTCAGTAGCTGCAGCACGCTGGCTCGAAAGTTGTAGCACGCAGGCCCTAGAGTGCATGGGCTTCAGTAGTTGTGGCGCATGGGCACAGTAGTTGCGGCATGCGGGCTCTAGGGCATGCAGGCATCAGTAGTTGTGGCGCACAGGCTCAGTAGTTGCGGCTCCTGGGCTCTAGAGCACAGGCTCAGTAGTTGTGGTGCACAAGCTTAGTTGCTCCGTGGCATGTGGGACCTTCCCAGACCAGGGATCAAGCCCGTGTCCCCTGCATTGGTAAGGCAGATTCTTTTTTTTTTTTTTAGTTAATTAATTAATTTTTTTTAATTTATTTATTTATTTATTTATGTGGTGGCTTCTCTTTGTTGCTCAGCTTATTTATTTATATGGTGGCTTCTCTTTGTTGCTCAGCACGGGCTCTAGGTGCGTGGGCTTCAGTAGTTGTAGCACGCGGGCTCAGTAGTTGTGGCTCGCAGGCTCTAGAGCACAGGCTCAGTAGTTGTCACGCACGGGCTTAGTTGCTCCGTGGCATGTGGGATCTTCCTGGACCAGGGCTCGAACCCGTGCCCGCTGCATTGGCAGGCAGATCCTTAACCACTGTGCCACCAGGGAAGTCCCTGGCAGTGATTTTACCTGAAGGCTTTAACGTTCCTGGAGTCCTGCACAGCCTCCCCAGTTGGCCCTGAGCAGCACATTCATGGTTCACCTCTCTCATTTCCACAGAATTTGCCTTCTGCCGGGTGGACGCCTCCATCGCACTGGATCTGGCCCTGGCTGTGCTGTGTGACCTGCTCCAGCAGTGGGACCAGCTGGCCCCTGGACTCCCAGTCCTGCTAGGATGGCTGTTGGGGGAGGGTGATGACCTCATGGCCTGTGTGGAGAGCGTGCATCAGGTAATCCTGGGGTGTCAGGGCAGTGGAGGTGGGTGGGAGTGATCCTACACCCACCGGATGCAGCACTTACAGGCTTACATGGGCTTGATGTGCCTCTGGCTGAAAGTGTGCCTCTGGATGCTCAGGTTACAGAGCGGTAAGCAATTAGGGAGTCTCCAAATGGCCCCGCAGCCTGCGGGTGCTGCTGGGGCAGCTCTTGTGCTGGCGTGTGGAGTTCCAATGGTAAGCCTTCCGATCAGTGTGGGGAGGGGACTTTGAAAGAGGCCCCTTGGAAGTTGAGAGTTTAATTATGGAGGATGCTTATTCGTCAGCATTGGAGTGACCAGGGGCTCCCCATGGTTAGGTCTGAAGGTGAAACACTTCCAGAGAATCAGGGTCCTTCCAGGGTCTCTGCTGCTTGAAGAAAACTAAGAGCCCCTCCAGGTGGGGGTCAGTCAACAGATAGGGAAACTGAGGACCTAGATAAGCAGTAAAAGCATCTTGAGAATTGAAATTCCTCTCTGCCAGTGTCTGACTCAGCTGGCCTTCTTGGCATCCCCGGCAGGCCAAGAGTTCAAAAAGCAGCCTGTTTATGGGAAATTAGGAGATAAGATAAAGTGTCTGTGATAAAATGACCTTGAAAATCCCCAGCATTATAGAAATTTGGTTTCATACTGAGAGACCAGTGTCTCATGTTTGTCAATTCTTCGCTCTTTGCTGCTCAGATCTCCCTTCCTCCCTCCTCTCTGATTTCTAGATGCACCTTCAGGTCTAGGGCCCCCTCCTGTGTTGAGGTCCCCTTTCAGCACCGAGCCCCCAAAATATCTTGGCTGAGAACCACAAACACATCTTTATCAAAGGTCATGTTAAGTCTGGGGGAAAAAAATTTCTCTCCAGTGGAGAAGTACGAGTGAAGATAGAAGGTGACCTTCAGGGCTGCAAGTGCTGTGTGTACAGGGGTGTTGACAGGCGAGAGTGAGCCCTCTGTCAGGTGGGGAGGGGACACACTGCTTCTGCATTGCCAGGACTCTGCTCTGGACTGGGGCCAGTCAGCATCCCCTGTAAGGTTGACTTTTGGCTTTTTCATCGGACTTAGGTGGAAGACTACCTGTTTGAAAAAACAGAAGTCAACTTTTGGGCTGAGACCCTGATCTTCATGAAATACCTCTACAAGCACCTCTTCCGCCTCCTCTCCAAGTCCAGCTGGCGTCCTCTCAGCCCCGAGAGGCTCTGTCATCTTCAGAGGACAGCGTCAGAGCAACGCCACCTCCTTTCCCAGCTCTTCAGAGAGCTGCCACCAACGGCTGAGTTTTTGAAGACGGTGGAGTTCACGAGACTGCGCATTCGGGAGGAAAGGGCTTTGGCTTGCCTGAGGTTACTGGCGTTTCTGGAAGGAAAGGAAGGGGAAGACACCCCAGTTCTCAGGGCTTTGGACTCTCCTGCAGCAGTGAATCAGTTAACTCTTCCAAGAACAGAAACGGCTTGTTGAAGAAAGAAGACTTGTGGGGTTGGGGGTAGGGTGGATTGTTCCCCCAGTCAATCCGCAGGAAAATGTTGAACAGAAACTTAAGCATCTTCTCCCCTTCACAACTCCCCCACTTCTGTGAGTCTAGTCTTCTGTCCTACAGAGGACTTTTTCTTCAGTTCAGTCATTCAAGGCAGCCTCGTTTATTGCAGCTACTGTAGGACATGAGGCTACCACGTTGAATATTGACTCTGTTCCCAGGTGCAGGCCACCTGCAGGCCTGAATTAGCCTTTTTCATCCCCCAGGACCTCCAGTGTCCAACCAGAGCTGGCCTACATTTTTCTCTGAATTGACTACACAGAGTTGGGTTTTAACACATGATTTCCCCCCCGCTTTTCTGGCTAGTTGTGGGAGCTGGATTAGTTGGCAGACAGCCCACTTGGTCAGAATTCCAAATTTTATTCGATTTTAGCAAAGGCAGAAATATGTTCCAAATGTTGGATCCTGGGAGAATTAAGGATCGACTTCATACAAATAATTTTGTTTTTACTGTCTGCATGTTTAAGCCTTCAGTGACCTACACATGCCATCCTAATTATTAAAAGAGCCATTAAGAGCTCCTACCCCCCTCTCCCCACCATAAAAAGTATCTGTGCTATTGTTAGGAAAACAGATTCACCACCCAGTGAAATCATAGACTCTTGGCTGTTAGAAGGAACCTGGGGAAAGGAGAGTCAGAATAAATGACTTATTTGATGCCTACACTGGTTACTGTCATTTTCTTGGTGGCAGTAACAAGAAGATTCTTATTTAAGATGCCAGAAAACTTTTATCCATTTCAGTGATTTAACCTGGAAACCTTAAGGGTTTTCTGCTTTTCTAAGTCCAGCCCTCCCCTCTTTCTCAGACACCCAGCAGGTGTCGCTCTTGCATACGTTTTGCTGCTAGTTTTGTTTTACACTGGCTTACCAGTTTTAATTTATAATTTCAGAGTAAGTGTTAGCCAAAGACAGTTATCTTGAAATTCATAGCTTGGATGGGTCATAGCCTCATCCACATTCATTTTTCATCCTAGTTATCTGAAAGAACCATTTCAGTAATCCTATGTACACTTGGCCCAGCTTTTTAGGGTCTGTAAATACTTTTAAATACTCCTCAGGTGAGCAATCAGAATTATTTGATTGATGTTTGAGGGTCTGGAGGGGCAGTTTAGAAGGGAGAGGGTTTGATATGATCATTTCCTACTACAGAAAGACTTATATTTCAAATATAATTTGTTTCTCTTTGAAAGAGAAACACTAACACTAAAAAATAGAGCCTACTAAAAGAATAGAGAACGGTCTGTGTAGGAAGAAGCAAGGAAAGAAGTTAACTTAGTGTCCAAAGTTTTGCCCTAAAAAGACAGGAAATTCCCTGGTGGTTTTGCATTACTCAGCTCAAAATGTGTTTTCTGTGATCCTGAATTAATAACCTGGTTAGGCATCTGTGTAGCCCACACTTGATGGAAAGTTGCCAACTGAACATTTCTTTTTGTTCTGAGAAGACGTGGCTGGTGAGAAGTCAGGGAATTGTTGGCACAATGTGGTGATAACCATGGTAGAATAATTATGAAACCAGCTCCAGCAAAGCCCAGCTCACTGGAAAGGGCCAGCATTCCTTTTTTCTCCATTTAAAATGAAATAAAAGCAGTTACATAATAATAAAAATATTTCCTACCAGCAGGTACTCTGTACCAAAGCATGAACCATAGCATGTTTACATGTTAGTTCCAAAGTCCTTCTACCAAGCCTGCAAAGTGGGTGTTCTCATAGCTGTTGAGAATTACCCCAGATTTTGATCTTGGCTGGTTGTAGCCAGCCTGAGAGCACAGGAGAGACAGATGTTTCCACTGGTTTTTGTATCTGAAATCTTGTCACTGACCTCCAACAGCAGTGGTGAGGGAAATTGCTGTTTCACACTTTCCTGATGCATTCCCACAGGAAACTCAGAATACCCCACTGTCGGGGCCATCCTCAGACTCTTGTGCTGTGGTTCATTTCAACAAAGAACAAAACAGCATCAGGGTTCTTGGGTATTCTAGGCTGTAAGTGTCAGCCATGGTTGCCCAGCCTTGTCTAGGGGCCAGTATAGGCCGGGTGGCAAAAGTGAAACAGTCACTTCATCTGAGGTCACTGTCCTTGGCTCCAAGCTCGAGGGTCCAAGATTTGGTTACCCCTCAGCTCTGCATTCACGATTCTGTAGACCTCCACCCATCTGGCCATACTCCAGAGGCCTGGCTTTCTCCATTTTTATGCTTTGTCAATTTGTTTAATAAATAAGATGGAGTATACTTATCTTTTAAAAACCTTAACAGATAACTCATTTGCACCTTGACAAAGGTGAGAGATGAGTAAAACAGGAATTATCTTAGTTTTACAAAGAAACCCAGGTGCCAAAGTGATTTTGTGATTTGCCTGAAATCACATGGCTTATGAGGGACAGGGCCTGAACTCCAGCCCTATGTTTCTGATCCTGAAGTCCTTGCAGCCCTATGCTGACTCTAGCTCCCTGGGTGGGTGAGGAGTGCAGCAATGGGCTCTGCGTGCAAGCTGAACTCTAAAGAGTACGTTTCCTGAGTGACAGGCCTGGCTCATTCCCTCCCACGGTAACTGAGAGAGGGAATGAGCGCCGCCGAATGGAAGTAAGCACAAGGAAACAGCCAGAAACAAGATCAACTGGGCAAGGGGGCGTGGGTCTCGGGAGCTTCTTTCTCTGTTGGGTACTGGACCTTCCAACTTAGGCCCAATTACAGCCTAGGCTGCCAGGTGTGCGAAATCATGGGCCCCGCTCCAGCTTTTTTGGCAGCATATCCGTAGACGCGGAGTGAGAAGTGTCCTGGACCGGACTGCATATCTGCCCCAGTGGGGCTGACAGTGGCCTTAGCTGCACTGGGCG